CTTGAATTGAATTTTAAAATGATCATTTTTGATTTCCAAGAGCTTCAGGATACTTTTTATTTATTTATTTATTTATTTTACTTTCTGGGTGTCAGGAATCAAACTCGAGATTATGCTTGCTTGCCAGGCAGGCACTGTGCCAGTGAGCTATATCCCTGGCCCCAGAATACTTTTTAAAAATAGCTTTTCATTTTCAATTCAAGATTGTACTATTAGCCAGGCATAGTATTTTTATTTAATCTATCTCTTATCAGGTTAGAAATTCTCTCCTCTAGTGGTATCCCTTACTCTAAGGACCCTCTGCTTTATGCCTTATTTATTTATTTACTTTTGAGTCAGAGTCTTGCTATGCAGTGCAGGCTGGCCTTGAACTCACTATATAGCCCAGCCTGCCTTGAATTCATGGTGATCCTCCTGCCTCAGCCTCCTGAGTGCTGGGATTACAGGTGTGTACTACCAGGCTCCTTTGCTTTATTCTTTAGAGACAAATCTCAAGTTTTCCTTCAGGGCTCCCTCATTGGGTTTGCATCTAAGTTTCAGGTTGTTTATGTATACATATGGAAGTAGACGAGGGTGTCTTTGGCTTTGTAGTCATGCTTATAATCCAGTCATTCATCTTGCCCCTGTTTAGCACTCTATGGGTTCATGTCTGCAGGCTTTCTGTCTCACCTCCAGGTATTCTCCAGGGTTCAGGCTCTCAATCACATGCTTGTGTGTTATGAGACATGAGGATAAGGCAGTCTCAAGCCTGTTCAGCCAGGCAACGCACATGCTGTCTCTCCTTCTGCTTCCTGGCCATGCCATGCTGGGCATGAGGATTGTGTGAGACGTCCTGCTTCCTCAGATTCTACCTGGGGTAGGGCACAGGCTTCATGTACTCTTGACTCCCCAAACCTCTCTGGAGCTGTACTGTTTCCTTCCATGGAGATTCAGTACCCTTGAATCTATTTTTCTCTGATACTCCATGATTTCTTTATTGAGTGGGGAGATATTTCATCCTTATGCTTTCTTTGATGTGAAAATTTACAGCGATTTTTAAATCTGTAAATGGTCATTTTGTAGACTCCCATTGTCATACCTTGGAAAACTTGTTCAAATATATGTGGGGGGATTTTTTTAACTTTATTTTTTTATTACTACATATTTACCACATTCATCTTGGGAAATTTGTAACTGTACATAAAATATATCAATTCTTTTCTCCCATTCAACCCCTCCTCCCTCTGCATTTACAAAAGCTTTGTCTCCACTTTTTTCCTTCCATTCTATTTTATTTGCTTTCCCTTTCTTTCATTCTGCTTCTCCCCTCCCTAGTTACCCTTCCCATTTGAACATTTTCTTCCTACTTCAATATGTATCATCCATTTTGGTCCTTATTTATGTTTTTGGTTTCTCACACAAGAGAAACAATGCAATGTTTACACATATGTGAAAGATTTATTTTACTGAAATATATGGTCTCAAGGTGCATCCATTTACTTCAAGTTTATCTTTCTTTATGGCAGAGTAGTACTCCATTGTATATAAAAACCACATTTTCTTTATCCATTGATGGGCATCTGGCTTGTTTCCAAGTTTTGGCTATTACAAATTGTGGTGCTATAAACATAGGTGTGCATATGTCACTGTAGTATGATGCTTTCAACTCTTTCAGGAAGATACCAAGAAGGGAAATAGTTGGATCAAATGGAATCTCCAGTTTTAGTTTTTGAAGACTCTTCATTCTGATTTCCATGTTGGTTGTACCAATTATACTCCCACTAACAGTGGAGGAGGGTTCCTTTTTCCTCATAGCCTCATCAGCATTTGTTATTGGTTGATTTCTTTTTTTTTTTGGTTGATTTTTTGATGATAGCTATTGATGTATAAATATTATGTCCTGAGTCCTTCATGGTTTTGAATTCTCAAGTTTCAAAGCTTAAGCTAAGGTATCTCAAAAGGCATTTCCCCCAAAACTATCATCTCTGCTGTTTGCAAAGTTCATTTGGAAGCCTAGAGGGGATTAGGATGAGGAAGTAAGCAGGTCACTATTAGGCCTCCCCCCCCCCGTCTTTTTGAGACAAGGTCTGCTATGCAGTTCAGGCTGGTCTTGAGCTTACTTTGTAGCCCAGGCTGGTCTTGAACTCACAAAGATTCTCCTTGTGGCCTGTATGATAATCTCTTTTATTTTTTCACATATGTAAGATTTATCTTTTTACCTGGTTGTTGGGATTGTTGAGGGTGGAATTATACTTAGAAAGTATTGTTTTTCTTTAGCAAAGGACATGATTTTCTTTTTGTTCTTTTTGTTTTTGTTTTTCTGAGACAAGGTCTTGTTATGTAGTTCAGGCTGGCCTTGAACTCAGTGTGTAGCCCACACTGACCTTGAACTGGAGGTAATCCTCTTATCTCAGCCACTTGAGTACTGGGGTTACAGGCGTATACCACCATTCTTGATTTGGAAAGGATAATGTTTTCTTTATCCTTGTAAATATGTTTAGCATAAAATATAGTAATTATTTACAAATCTTTTGAAGACCTTTAGCTTTGTATCTTCATGGCACATAATGGCATTTCTAGTACACAACATAGTACACATTTAAATAATTGATTAATTTGCAGAATATACCTCTAAAAAAGAAAATAAACCTTACAACATTACCCTTATACAATTACAGAAAAGAAACATGAACTCAGGATGCTGAGGCAGGAAGATTGTGAGTCCATATGACAAAGAGACCTTATCTCAAAGCAAAACAAAATGAAACAAAAAAGGGGAACATATTTTAAGGACTTGGAAAAGAATCACTACATGAATATAAAAGAAGGGCTAAAGTTTTTAAAAGAACCTTTATGTATGGTTAAGAAATGATCCTTTACTAATTTGACTTTTCAATTTCAAGGTCAAATTGATAGGTCTGTTGTGGAAACTTGGCCCTCAAAGCCAAGGAGGACCGGTGTTCCTCACTGTGGCCTGTTGCACCAGTGCCAGGAATGCCAGTGCCTTCCCTTTTTAGAAAATGCAGCTGCTGGTTTCTGAACTATTCTAGACTCTCCAGACTTCAGTAACAACTGCTGAGGGTGGGGATGGGAGGCAGGTGTAAGGAAAGCTCTGTACTAATTAGGGTAGAGGTAAACATACCAGTCGAGTGCACAGACACTTCCAGGATTTATTCTGAGAAGTGAAAGGGATACAAAAATAATCCATTGTGGTCTGCAAAGTTAAGGGAAACTTTGTAGTTCTGCCTGATGTGCCAAGCATGAGTTAATTTTATACCATACTATTGTTGATTCATTCAAATTAAAAATATATATTGAGTCTCTCTTAAGTACACATAACTACCTAGTCCCCAAGAGATAAAGTGCAAAGATGAATAAGATACAGTACAATTTGCCACAGATTTCTTTGTTATTTTTCTCCTAGCCTACAAGCCATGTTGCTCTCCAATCTAGAACTTCTCAATCACTCCCCATTTTCTATGGAACAGAACAGAAATCTCTTTATCTAGTTCCCAAGGCCAATTCCAATTCCAGGCTATTTCCCCAGCCCCTTGTGCTTGTGCTCAGCTTCTTGGTGTGTGTGAATAGACCACATCACCCTATT